AGGCAAGGGACTCGGGCACGTCCACAACTTCCTCCTCGGTCTCTACTGTCACGTCCAACGTGATGGACTCCTCTACAACGACATGCCAACCCACAAGCACAGGAGCGCTGGTTTCGAGAGAGGCAACGGGCCTATGCACCGCGGTGGCGCTGCGGCGACAGTGGGGATTGTTGCCGCTCCCACTGCATGAAATGGGAGAGACGGCGGCATCAGCTGTATGAACCCTCCGTTGTCGCTGCTGTTGCTGATGTAGCTGCTTTTGCTGCTGCATTCGCCCGTGTTGCAGTGTAGGGCCGTGTCCTTCCCGAGGAGGAGCATGTGGTATTCTAGGGGGAGGTACAAAACACTGTTCCGGCGGCTGTGCGACCTCCGACGAGCAGTCGACATCTTCAATGCATGAAACAGAAACAACTGAAACGTCGCGGCTGGGAACATCACACACTGGGCAGAGAATGGTGCCACGCTGCTGCTCCACTTGCCATTCTTCCAGCTGTTCTGTATTTTTCAACGGTTTTGACCTTACACCGAAAAGACGTGGTGGAGGCGAGTCATCCACCTCCAAGCACAGTGGCAACACGTCTCCTGCATTGTCTTCCTCCGGCACCTGCGCTACCGCATGCGTCTCTTTGCAGGGCAACGGTGTCGGGATGTTTAGGCTGCACACGCTGGCTCCCTCACTCTCTCGTATCGGGGCCGTCGTGCCGTTGACAGTTTTCTGGCCGTCATCTGGAAGCGGCGATGTCAGCCGCCGCCGGCGCTGTTTCTGCTGCAACAATGAGGACGAAAACAACGAAAACACGGCGGTGTTCTCACCTCCCGGCCTCTCCGGTGTGGGAGAGCACATGCGCTGCTGTTGCTGCCCCTCGCTTTGTGGATTGTCTTGCGGCGACCCTGCAGCCCTACATAATGCACTGTATAGCGCCTTCGGTGCCTTGCTCGTGTCAACGTTGACGCAGCGACGCTGCACAAGCGGGGACGGTACAAAGGCGCAATGACGTCTCGTAGCATCTGCAGAGTCGGCATCCTTCTCTTCAAACTCATGTCCGCCTTCTACTGGGTTATGTCGATGCATACCTTTTTCTGCTGCTGTTGCTGTGGGGGTAGTGGTGTTAACGGGGGAGCTGTTGAGAATGACGAGGCGTCCGTTGCTGCCGTCCCTCTCGCCGCTCGGTGGCAGCGTCAGCAGTACTGCTCGTGCGGTGCCGTCGTCGACGTCGTGGCTGAAGCTAAAGTCATCGCAGGAGTCCATCACATCAATGCGCAGCACACCACCACCACAGCCACCGATAGTAGTCTTACTAGTACGAGGAGCATTGGAGCCTTCATTGTCGTTATTCCGGCGTGGGGCAGGGGTAGGGATATTCAGCTCGCTAGACGGTGTATCTGAAGGCGAGCACCGTCTCTCCGCGCAAACAGGTGTGCAGAACATCCCGTGACTTCAACACTCCCGTACCGACCGTAACGCATTTTTTGTACGTGGATTTGTATGTATTGCGTCATACAGCATGAGTGAGATACGAGAAACAGAAAGAAGTGCACGTGTTTAAACGTAGCGTACTAATAGACAATATATTAGGATGCCCCAGAGCCGAAAGCACACCCTCACATGCCTGCTCGCACGTGACAGAAAGGGAAGGCGATACAGTGTCAAGTCCCCTAAGGACGCGATAAGTAAAGAAAACCGACCACACACACGAAGGCAGAAGCATAAGAACACGGATGTAAAAGCGATCAAGGTGAAAACGACCCCCGAGGACTGGCGCCAAAAGTTTCCGGTCGCCACCACCGCTTTCTCCCTTTGACTTTCCGGTTGGTCCCGCGTCTCACACACCATTCCTTCTTTTTCCACCTCAGACACATCTCACGAGGTCTCTAGCACAGCTCGCAGCTGCTGCGCTCGCCGCCCGGCCACACTGTCCCCAAGTGAATGCGCCCGCTCAAACAGCAGAAGCGCCTCCCGCCGCCGACCCAGCAGCGCCTCGAGCAGCACACCGTAGTTGTACAGCGTCATTGCGTCGGAAGGGTCACGCTGCAGCGACAGGTCGTACCACGCCGCTGCCGATTCGTAGTCACGATCCACAGCCTCAGCAATGTAGGCACGTGCACGGGCACCAACCGCGTCGTCCGCATGACGCTCGTGGACGCTGTTCCACAGACGCCGTGCACCCTCGCGGTCACCCTGGCGGTACAGTGCCCAGCCGTTTGTGACATCCTCCTTTGCACGGTGAACCATGTTGCTTGGTGACGCGCTTGACGCACGATTGATGCCTTTATTCATATAGTTACTATTGTTATCGTTATTGCGGTTGCCCTTTGTGTTCCTGTAGTTGGTGCTGGTGTTCGTGTTCGTGCTTGGAGGTATGGGTCGCTCCTCTTTTCCTCCTGAGGACAGTGCGAGGTACTTGGCGTACAGATTGTTCGTCGTGACGTCCCGTGATGACGGCTGAGCCTCTGTGAGAGAGCCAGGCAGAGCGGCGCTGCTGCCGTAACTGTTGTTGTCGATGGTATCGCGGTGGAAGCGGTAGTGGTTGTCAGGTGTATCCAAGAGCGTCTCCACGGCGGTGGCGGTGGTAATGTTGTCATCGTCATGGCGGGTTAAAGGTCGCTGCCATGCTGATGCGGTGCCTGCCTTCGCTTCTGCACCGCCGTCGGTGCTGTTGAACCGGTTTTCTTTGTTGTTGCCGATGGTACTGCTGCCCCCACCACTGCATCGCTGCAATTCTGCCTTGATGTACTGCATCTCATCCTCTGCCTGCACACGTTGCAGCGCCTCCACCACCCGCAACGGGCTGCTGTGCTGCAGCGACGCTGCGATTTGCTCCACAAGCACACCTGCCGCCTCGCGGGCCTTTACCACGTGCTCCTGCCGCCGCTGGATCTCATCATGCTGCACCGCTTCCTCCTGCTCCAGCGTACGAAGGATCGCGGCGACGCGCTCCTCTGCCTCGCGGCGGATGCGCTCCACCTCGCGCTC